CACCTGCGGTCCAGAGTTTTGCAAATATCTCAGCAACGTTGTGGTTGTATAATGCAAAGAATGTTATCCCGAGTGGTTGCGAAAAACTTCCTATCATTGTGTTCCCGAATTCGTTCCTCGAATTAAGAAACATATCGAATGAGCCTGGCATCGTGGGACACAATAATGTCGCTGAGAATATATGATCCACTGTGAGCAACGTCACCATTGTAACGTTATGCTCACCTCTTTACACTACGAACTGTAGCGTTCCAACCGCGATTCGAGTGAAAATTCTGTCGAACAGTCTACATTTCTTTGCGTGAGAATAGTGAATATTATATAGCAGAACTGTAATCTAAAGCGCTGGTTCACTTTTAGAAAGGCCTCCCACAAGCTGAGGATATTTCATCCGATGACGAAGCTAGGAATGATTTTATTTCAAGGCAGACTTCGGTGAGGCATCCATGGCTACCTTCTGACCAAAGAAAAAAAAAAAGAAAAACACCATAGGCTTAATAGTGTAGTGGTCTTCCGCTCCTTTCTACGACTACAAAATCCAGCGTGGACAAATAGAGTGCACCGGCGACTTTCGAGTTATTCGGCGATTAATGGGATCACAGATGGTGTAGGTTATAAAACAAACAAACCAAAAAAAACTGCAAACAATGCGATTTTATAACCAAATGGTAGTACAACGTCTGGGCAACTTTCCTTTCCCTGCCATACCTCTCTTTGCATTCATCGTTAGTCATTATCAATGTAGACTATGAGATAAACACGTTTCGTGCTGCTGTTTATCTAAGTCATTAATGAAAGTTCATTGGTTCGTGGGCAATGTGTTACAAAAAATTCTAGCAAAAAAAGAAATGACACTAAACTGTTTTTTTGGAACTTATAAGGTAAGTGGTAGGTTGGAATGCCGGTAGAACAGCCGGAGGAACAGCCACAGGAGGAGCGGCAAACGTCGCCGCTACCACGGGAGCAGCTTTATATGTTGGAGCACTGAATAGGGGACCACTTGAAAGTGGAGCACTGAGCGATGGAGTAATAGCAATCGTACCCTGTGCTACTGCTGGATAGGCAACAGCTACTGGAGCTGCAGCTGGAGCTATAGCTGTTGTGAAGTATCGTTCGTGGTAGGGACTGTAGGATGACACTGGCCAGGTGAAAAGCTGCGCAGAACACGCTCCGAGCATCGCCGCAAATGCGCTAAATAAGCACAAATTGATAAAATAGCGCGATTAGAAGATTGACTTTTCAGGATTTGTTGGCATTTTCACAAATTTTCAGTGACTAGTTCTCTTATTCGGCAATTTCGTGTATCGATACACACAGTTTTGTCCTTTACAGAAGTTGAAGAAGAAACATGTCTTAACGTGAGATTACCATCTCATAGTATGTGCCCGTCAGTGACTATATTCTCAGTAGGCATCGTCAAATCTTTTCTTTTTTTCTGAAACGATAACGATGAGCCGAATTTAACACAACTCTCCAGAATGATTTTACGATGACTTCGATTCTGTTGACGATTGAGAAAATGGTCGACGTTCGGAATGGCTTTATAGTGTTAGTCGTCGACAGTAAACAGTTCGTCGCCAACGGTAGTAGCCGTTTTATGTCGATACGATGCTCAAACGGCCAGACAACCACATCGAGCAACGTATGTGCAGCAAACATGGGTTTTAGTTCCCGAATGGCGACAGTAAAGATGAACACAATTGTAAATGACAACACGAAAATCATGGATAGTTTCAGGATGTATAAACGAAAGCTTGGTTGGGTGATAATATCAATAGGGAGACCATGATTTTAAATGAAAACGTTTTCTGCTTCCAGTTCCAGGGGGGAGGGAAAAATCTTTTGTACTTCTTCTCTTTGTACGACCCGAATTCACATGTCGTAGAGAACCCAGCAGTTTCACCATTCGGTTCGATATATCAAATGCGTAACCTACGAATGTGTTCGAATTTGCACGAGTATTCGGTCACCACTTGAGGACTTTGTCTTCTTCATGAATGCCTCTGAAGGCTGATCTAGTTAATTCTCTGCGTAATCCTGTTCTAGCTTCAACACAGCGCTGCAGCGTTTTCATTTAGAGCACTCGCTACTTTTGTTGATCGGAGCGATCTTTTCCAGAAAATGCTGTCACCGATTTGTCTACAACAGTGGTATAGGAGGCTTGATTAGGCAAAGGCGAAGTTGAACCAGCAACCATGTGTATAGCGAGGCGTCTCTATCCGCTGCACTTCTTGCGCTTTTTCTTACAAGGTGTATTTTCAAAATCTGCGCATGCAAAAACACGCTATAATCTACTGAAGCGAACACTCTGTTATATGCATAACTCACAAGGAAGGTTTTTAAGCGATTATCAGTAAGCAATAGTGGAATCCATGTTTCGATGAGAGTAACAGTAGTATGACCGTGATCGGCGTATTAATGTACATCCTGAAAAAATTTGAACGGAAGGGGAATAAGGAGGGGTTTTAGAGGAGGAGAACGGGTAAAGTGTGAGAAATAGAAACATTGAGAGGAAAAAAACAGCGAGAAGGATCAAAAATGGAAAAATTAATGTCAGTATAAAAGTCGAAAAATCGGACAATTTTTTAGTAATATTTTAAAAATAATTAAATAAGCCAACAAAAAAATTCACCAACAACACGTGTTCTTTCATTGATGAACTAACAACTAGTCTCTATTCAGCTAACGTTCCAATATACTCGTCTTCCTCAGAGCCGATGATTCGAGTCAATGTCCACAAAATTCGTACTCTCGTATCTCGGGCAACACCAGCAGTTCCGGCTTGCTTTTCAGAAATGTACACGCAGAATCGAATTTGTCCACTATATAATAAAATAAGATCATGTGGCGCAGTGGTCGGAGGCACCTTGCGACACACATGGCATCGATCTCAGTGCCCATGGCCCACCAAGCCTTCCATACCTCCGAGGTCGGCAAATTGGTACCAGACTTGTCTGGGAGGATAGCCGCACTGGCTCGATACATCGGTAGGCCGCCGCGAGTATTGTAAAGGCCATATATGTATTCAATCACTTGCAAACGATGCTTAATAACGCCAAATGCATAGCGCATCCTTTAGGGATTGATCAACGCCGAGTGCTTTATCCTTTATTTTTATTATATAATAAAGCTGTCTAGGTAATAGCATCAGCTTTAACTTTTATTTACTGCCTATTCTCTTTTTTCGCAGCAGGATATTACTTGAAATACATCTATAAGGATGCTGAGATGCGAGCAAAACTCGGAACCTCAGTTGGGCTTCGATCTTTTTCGGAGACTCAAGTGCTATCATCTGCACCAACCAAGGCCTTTACTATGCCTTTTCCTTAGTCATGTTTTTGCTCTATTGGTGCTATCAGCAATCAATTGTCAACAAAAATGGGTAATAATAGTTTGTTAGAACAATATTCTCAGAGAAGTAGTACGTTCCCGAAATATTTCCTCACAAGCATGCCACGAGTGTTTTGGGCGCAATATCTGATGGAGTGCGGTTGCGATTTGCAGTGATTTTCACACTGATAGTGGAGACCAAGAAAGATGTCATGACGAGTACCCAGAAAACTCTGTTCCACCTGATTATATTTTAAGTAGCAGGTGGCTTCGTTGGAAGTGCTCTTCAATAAACTTCCCATCGGTCTCTAGTTTGGTGTAGTGACAAGATCCCGTCTTCCAATCTTTTGAGATCGGCAAATTGATAGCAAGTTTGTTTAGAAAAAGTAAAATCGATGAATTTAAACCACCTTTAACGATGTTTGGTAGATGATTCACAATTTTGTAATTATAACTACAGCCTCAGCTTAATTGGGTTCGTTGCCGATTTAGGCACCCCAGATCAATCCCGCCGACAGGTGATTGCTAATGACTGAGATTGATAGAACTAGCTGAGAGACAAGCGAAACAAAGGACTCACATGGTGTGTTAGTAAACTCGTTAGCTGCCAAAAAGGGCAATAGCGTGTTCGTTCCCCACCACAGACACCTGCGGTCCGGAGTTTTGCAAATATATCAGCAATATTGAAGCGTGGTTTGATGGAGTCGAACGCATGGTGCATCCTTCAGAAATTGATCAACGCCAAATGCTTTGCCTTTCATCCTTTTTACGCTAACCACATTTTGTATAATGGCATGGAATTAAAAGAAGAATATGTCAAATAATGCAGGGATGGAAGTTGTCAGACGTCGTTCGCATCACTAATAATTGCATTACATTAAACCGCAATAGAATGTTGCCGCTATAGTCCACACAGAAAATCTGTTTGGTATAAAGGTGTTAAGAAATACTATTGTTTTACTTTACTAAACTGACTTTCACTTAACCTCGACGTGAACAATTAATGCATTTTTTTGAATTGTTTATTTTAAAGGAGGTTGTGACAGCAACACAACAGCAGCCAATACCAGGGTCCACCACCGTCCTAATATCGAACTAGTTGCATCGTGGCAAATCTCCCTTTGATCCACAAGGGCGGCAACTGCCTGAGGTGATGACGACCTAGGGCAGACTTTAGTCTAGCTGACCTCGGTACTCCAGGGAACCCACAAAACTCCGAAAAATGGAAATTATGCCGGGGCTCATACAACTATTGAGGATGATTCGTGCTACTATCCAAGTTAGTAAGTGAATGAGATTGTTAGGCAACCTTTGTTCCACTAACGGCTTGATATCTTCGTTTTCGTCAGAGGCGATGACCCTACCTATTCGATGGTCCACACTCATTCATCTTCTCAAATTCGTATTTTCGCCGTCGTAACGAGTCGAATCTTCTTCAATTGAGCACCGATCGAATGAGGCAGCCTAATACTACTATTGTTTTTTATTTGGTTAGTGCAGCGAAAACATTCCCTTTCACCATTGCTTTAAAAGTGTACTACAAGATGCTTGTTCGCACTCCTTATACCCACATATGCCATCGGTGCTAGTTCTTCGCAAAGTAGACTTGAGTCGCCTTGGCTCAGTGCTATTCTTTAGAACTGTTTCTTCAGTCACTTCTCAGCAATTTGGTCAGATATAATTGGCCGAATCAGCTTGAAGGATGCATCCCGTATATTCACAACAATACTCAACAAGCAAGAATGGATAAGAAGTATTCTTACATACAAAAAGTTTATTCACATCAAAAAAGGTATGGAAAAATAAGGTTCATTTTTCTTTTTTTTTCATTTTCTTTTCATTTTTTTTCACTTTTCTCATCAAAGGTACTCATGTTTAGCTGATGTTTAATCCTCTTTTCATCAGAGTACTAGGCTCGAAGCTGCCACGTCACTCACGGTTATCACTCCATAGAGAGATTTCGCAGGTATTTTTCACGTGTCTTCCCAGCTCTACAAATCTCCCTGCAGGTGTTTCTATATTATCTGCTGAAAATCACGCTGATGATTAATTCGTTCATATTTGACGGTAATTTTAGTTAAGCTTGGTTTTATACTATTTCCACTCTTGAAGTTCGTCAAGAGCAGGTCTGTTCTAAAACGACATGTGTCCGGACCCACTGATCTATGTGGCCTGAGGCTCGACTGTTTGGCTAAGGTACCAGCCGAAAACATGTGACGATTTTCGCAACATTTACTGTTTGTATATCGTCGCTTGGTTCCAGAGACACATTTTGACCATAGAGAACCAAACCGGCTCCGAGGTTGAAATCGTAGACTGGAGAAACGAAACCGTCGCTCGTTGGTCAACCAGCTGCAAAGAAATCTACACATTGACAAGAATGTGTGCAGGAAAAGAAAACAGACAGTATCCAGTGCTTAGATTATTTTCCCTTTGAAACAGAGTTTTATTTTGTACGCTGAAGCTACGAAAATCTGTGAGAACATCTACAAACACGAACTGTTTTGTGTGAACCGAAAAAATCGAAGTTAATATGCCCTTGATCTTTTCACGGCAGGGTATTATGTGAAATACAACAAGAATGTTGAGGAGATCTCGGTTTGAGGATTTGCAAATATCTCAGCATCATTGTGGTTGTACTTGACACAAACACCTTGTACTAAAAAAAATAGTGTGGGCAGTAGATAAAAAGTTAAACATTGAGATTTGGACTACAGGTTGAGATTAACTAGGTTCAATATGCCGATTTGTGCTCTCCACATCATTCCGGTACTGGTAATTGTTGATGATGCCATCAAGGCCAAAAAAAAAATAGGCTAAGAGGAAGACAAAGCAAGGGCTTCAGTGGTACAGTGGGTAACACGAAACTCCCCGGAAAGACTAATCGCAGTTCGAATCTGGCGTGGCATCCCAGTTTTGCAAATATCTCAGCATAATTGTGGTTGTTGCAAAAACTTAGCACAAATTCGTTTATTTGAAAAAAGAATAAGGAGTTTTGAAACATTTACGTTATTTCCTTTGTTCATTAACGATGGTAATGAATTTCTTGAATGGTGCACATTTTTCATTGGCTTTCACCTCAACAGAGAAATTCACGCGTTCCCGATGAATTCGTTACCGGTTCATCAAGGGAATTATTGGAAGAGATTCAGCCTAATCGAAGTTGCAATTTGATTTGGCATTATTATAATTTATTTATACCACCACATAAAATGTGTGAATATCGTTGGCGAAAGTGGAAAGGAAAGACTTTGCCATTAACCCATCTTTATCCTGGCGTTAGTTCACTTCAGGTCTCAATGGTTTAACGCTTTATCATGTTCGGGATTTTCCCGGATGTAGAAATGCGAATTAGAGCAAGCGACTCATCCTCTGGACAGAATCGCTAAAATAGCGAACGATTTCAAGCTTAGAATCCATTAGTCTCACTTCCGGTGATTTTCAACTGTTTATTTTCGCGCTAACAAGAGCTATAAAAGAACGTTACGAAAAAGAGCTAAGTGAATGGTGCCAACGCGAGCCGCAGCATCATTAAAGGGGTTCAGGTCATATAGGTGAATGGAAGTTACCATAATGATATAATAATTAAGTTAGACTGTAGCCTCGCATTCAGCTATGAAAGAAAACTAGAAGACTAGAGAAACAAAGAAGAAGAAAACTAGAAAAAAAGAAAAGAAAATTAATTAGACTAGAAAGTCACAAAATTAATAATTGACTTAACCGACATAACTGCCACTTAATTAGAATAACAATGGCCAACTCAAATGTTGATCAAACATTCTTCTTTGTATTTTGAGAAAGCGAATATATAGCTCTTCATGCAGGGAGTAGATTACCTAGAATTTGAAAACGTTTCTAAATGCAAGCTTAGTTTTGGTAGTATGGTTCTTTAAATTTCTATGTGTGGTTGGCTAGAATCTCATCAGTGCTTTGCTAAAACAGCATGAAGTACAGTTAACAAATTGCGAAGAAGATAGGGAAAGAATTTCTAAGTCTACTCCTTTGATAGCTAATTTGTTCTCATTAGCTCTAAGACGAAAAGAAATGAGCGAAGGTAGGAAGACAGAATAGGAGGAAGACATGAAGACAAAAAGCAAGGAAGAACTAACCCAAAAGAATGTGGTTGGAAGGTAATGATAAGGGGCGCGCGTAGTGCAGTGGCTTGAGGTTCCCTGAAATAAACTCTTGGTTATTGGCTCCATCCCGCGCCCCAGGCTAACCGATCCCTCCATCAGTCCGTGGCAAGGATATTAGTACCAGACTTATCTGAATGGACAGCAGCACTGCTTTTATACATTAGTAGGCCATAGCAATTCATTATGTAAACTAGATGTGCATTCAATTTCCTCTGACGATGCTTGTTGAAGTCGAAACTATGGCACATCTCCTAAACGTTAGTCAACGTCGAGAGCTTTATCAGCTTTTAACTACAGAGGAAAAAGTAATGTGAATGAAAAAAGAATGTGAACAAAGAGACGAACACAAGAAAGGTAATTCAAAGCGAACAACATCGCAAATTTCCTTGTGTTCGAAGGAGAAAACGAGAAAAAAAGTGGAGAAAAAATAGGAAGTGAAATGTTTGGTCTTTGTGAGCCATCAAACTACGAGGAGATTTTGAATAACTTAAGGAACTTATTTTATAACAAAATATTTAATGAAAATTGTACGAATATACTTTTAAAGGTTTTCTATTCTTAAGGCAGCTTCTAAAGGGAGGCGTTGAAAAAAAAGTGAAGATGAGAGTGCGGAACACACACACTACAAAATCCGAGCCGCCCATTTTATCTCCTGTTCATTCTCCGCGCTATGTAACGGAATACAGTGGTTCTCTAATATTTTTATACTATTGACTTTACAATCTTTTCATGCATTTCTTCAAGCGAAGTGTGAAGGTCTTAACATCCTTAAACATTAAAAAAAAACACCTATCTTGCTTTCAATATTCAATTGTTTTCGGTTTCAAAATCATGTTCATTTTTTTGGATTCACTGCAGCACTACATCGTCCTGTAACGGTTGAAAGTTGGGCTTGCTTCCGAGCAGGAAGAATCGGAGTCCCAAGGCAACAATCCTTCCTGATATTCATAAGGACTGCTGAATATTTGTGCTGCAGACGTAGGAACGCTTTAGTACCGATAGTTCGGAATTTCAGGGGAAACCATTCTCGATCAGCGTGTAATTTGCCAATGAAAGAAAGGTGACGGATTCTCATTTCCAAGCTAAACATATGCAGAAACCGGTCATGATTCTTCGCAAATACTATCACTTTTTCATGAATCATGACCGTGAACTCATTTTCACATGAAGATTTCAAAGAAAAGAAAGGAATGGAAGACATGGGATCAGTGGATAGTGAGAGAGTCGATTTGGATATACCTTATCCAGTAAAGTATTCTTTTCTAAGCAATTTAAAAAATTTTCTAACAATTGAATAAATAGGTTCTAAAACTTTTGTGGAAGTCTTTAGTACCACAACACGGTGACAAAGTGCACTACAGGTGCAGACCACTGGGCACATAATCTGGTTAATGATATAATAATGGCAACTCCTAAACAACCCATGTTTCAAAACTCTTAACTCTCCTCTTTTTTCAAACTCTTAGAGAGACTCTTAGTTTTGTTTTCCTTTGTTCTTGGTTTCTATGGAATCGTTTCGGAATTGGTTGGAAACCATGCCGCCTATACCGGTTGCCGTATGCCGACGGCCCAATACGTTTAAAAGAACTACCGGCCCGACAGGGGAATACCAGAAGCAGCACGCCTCCGGCTCGAACAGAAAGATGACTTCGCACTTCATTTGGTGGGTACTATTTATCCATCATGCATTGTTTGTTTTTCGGATAAGTTTTGTTGTTTTGACTCAATTTGCATAAAGACTTCGAAACACAGTATGATCTTTATAGATCTTTAGCTAATAACAGTAGTTTTATACAATGATTTTTCCGTAACCTTTAAAAATAGCTTTCGATATTCTTGTTGAGCATACACAAGGTGTTGCTCTATTCTTCATGCTGTTAAAACTGGCGTTTCGGAAGTATCGCCTTCCTCAGAGCCTAGAAGGGTATAGTGATATGCAATTTACTACGGCGAACGTTCCAACAACACAAACAGAAGGATGAAAATCTAAATGGTAATCGAACGATCAACAGCTTCTCGAAAAACCCACCGTTTACTAAGCGCCTTCCACTGAGGAAGAAAAGAACAGCTGATTAGAGCCGCATATGGTCGATGAAGGCACCACTCCACATCAACAGTCGATGCGAAGGTACGGGGCGAGACCACGTGTGATCTCTGGACAATCCTCCCTGCTATTCGATCAATGCCGAGGTTAATAGAGAGTCGGTCGTGAAAATTTTTTTAAAAAATGTCTTGTACAATATCTGGTTGAACCCTCCTTGAAGTTGCTATCAGTTCCACTGATTGTCGTGGTGGGAAAGTGGAGAATAATAATTGATTGGCCTTGGCCTTTTATTTTGCACTCACAAAAACCCCTTGAAGTATTGAATGGTCCATTTAATTAAATAACTTGAATAATCATTCACTATTCATAACATTTTCGAGCTAACTGTCTTATGTATGCATGTCACGATTTTCTTCTAGTATCTCGAAAAACTCTCACTGGGATGATTCCAGGTTATTACTCGTTTTTATAGCTGGGTAGGGGTTACACATTTTGCTATCGTGTTTCTTCCTAGCAGCAACTTGAACTTCTTTTCGACAACCAGAACTATCATCATCGAGGAAATCGATTCGGGTTAGAGGTTTTCACATACTTCGCAGAAATTTAGGAAGTATTTTGCGATTATATCAATTTTTTCCGCTGTGACACGATCACTAAGGCAGGTAGCGTAATGTTAGCGATGTCATTTACGAGCACATTGCTGGTTCGAATCCGCAATGGCCTCAACAAACCTTTTAATCTTTTGGAGTGGGAAAATTAGTACCAGGCTTGTCCCATAAAATTTCACTTTCTGCCATCCAGCGGTCTGGCCCTGCTATCTTTGGACTCAAACGTCCTCGACTTCAACGACGGTCATGAAGAAGACGACAATCCTCAAACGTCAACAAAATTTCGAAGGCCTTCGTGGATAATGGATGAGTAGAAACGAATCGATTACAAAAGGTGGTGGATTGGTACAGTGTGCTACATGTGATGATGGGTTGTATAAAATAACTTGGAAAATCATGATCGTTATCACTTAAATTGTATATTCTTTGTTGACGACTAGTGTAGCACAGCGGTAAGAGGAGACTCGTAGCTCTGAGGTCATAAAACCCTCAATCTTTTCGGGGTAACATTGACTTCACCCATCAGTAGTTTTCGTAAGTGATTCACTGTATAGGCCAGATGTACACTCACCTCCATGATACTTGAATTCAAGTAAATGAGGCATCTGCCAAGGATTGCTCAACGCCAAAACTTTTAACTTTTTATGGCATTTGCTGCAATTTTTAAAAAATCCGTAGCTTTTTGAATGTTTCTTTCAATTAGTTGTTAATAAGTGATCATTCAGCGTTCTCTTCTTTGTGCTGGTCTCTTCGCAAGCTCAGATTGCCTTCCGCAACCCGTTCTACGGCCGCTACTACGCAGTTGCGAAACCAACGATCACGTCGGTTTACTCTGAATTGACCGCTCCAGCACTGACAGCAGCTCCAAGTGCATTGCTTGCTGCTCCTCCAGCCCGAGTGTCCACTCCAGTGCTGGCCGCCTCCCCAACCTCCATACTCCGACGCTTTCTTGGATCTTCAGCTATAACACCAGTGGCGCGATCTGTGCTAGCCACTGCTCCAGCGTTTGCTTCTGCTCCTCTAATAGAGGCATCTCCAATTATTTCAACACCTGTCGTAGCGGCATCTACTCCAGTGCTTGCAGCAGCGCCTGCTCCAGTGCTTGCAGCAGCACCTGGCCCGGTGGTAGCAGCAGCCCCTACTTCAGTGCTTGCGGCAGCACCTGGTTCGGTGGTCGCAGCAGCTCCTGCTCCAGTTCTTACAGCAGCAGCTAGTCCTGTGGTTGCAACAGCCTCTGCTCCAGTGCTTGCAGCAGCACCAGGTCCGGTGGTCGCTGCGGCCCCTACTCCAATGTTCACGGCAGCACCTGGTCCTGTGGTTGCGGCAGCCCCTGCTCCAGTGCTTGCAGCTGCACCTATGCTACAACATCCTATGCCCGCTTACGCTCCATTAACCCGCACTGCATACTTCATAGGAAGTAAGAAGAACTAAATGATTACAGTTATCGGCGTATCATGCATATCATTTTTTCTGTACGTTTGAATACGATTAAATAAATGCTCACGAATCTCTCCTATTCTTTTCACAAAAAGAAACAAATAGGTATAAACTCAAAGATTGGCATCATCTATTGCGACTTTGTAGAACAACGACGAAACTGCTTCAAGAGTCAGAATTGACCAGATCTCTTTGTAAACTCTTATGTGCAGCCAAATTGCGTCTTCCTCCTATTATGCTAATATTTCACGTTAATATTATATATCTCTTTTACAACTCAGCGTGCAGAAAGCTACTGCTCCTTATGAAGTCAACCTTCGCTTAAATTTTATGCTTTAAGCTATCGGTTCTAATAAAATTAAAGCTACGAAAAAGACGAGCAAGCTATCAGGAAGATTTTTCACCTTATTATTTACTGCCTACTCTTTTTAATGGCAGGGTATATTGCAAAATATAACTCCAATGATGCTCAGATATGCTGAACGCGTTACTCCCCGGAAAGGACAACAGCGCGTTCGTTCCTATCGCACCTGCGGTCCGGAGTTTTGTAAATATCTAAGCCTCGTTGAAGTTATATCGCGAAAATTTTTTTGGAGCAGAGTTCTCATAAACATTACACTGGGGAAAAGGACGAATAAAGGGAGTAATTGCTGGTGCCTTATCGGGCTAAATCAAAGGTATGACAAGTAACGCAGCTGGTAGAGGATATATCTGAATTTCATTAATAGGATGCCAAAAGTCTGGACATAATTTTAGGCGAAGCGAAAGTGGTGCGAAGCGGCTATAACAGTTGATTGCAGCAATATTTTAAGAATTAGAAAGTGCGAGAACCAGGAAGACAAAGTCTAAAACGAATTTATTGCAAAACTGAATAAATATTTAAACATATATTCGAACATAAAAAACGCCATGTTACTTGAAGATCATATTAAAAAGCACAATATATACAAATAGTGAAACAGCAGAGTTTATTAGATTAGCGTTCCCATGGAAGAATCCACACGTCCCGAATTCAAAGTTTTGTAAAGCGGTATTGAGAAAATGGGACAGCAATATCGATTGCTAGCGCGACTCGGTCGATTCGCACATTTTGCACTAGTTTGTGTTTTCGGTGAAGGTATGCTGGAAAACCATTAAAGCAAAACAAATTTCGATGTTCCTAGTTCCGCATGTGATCAATAAATGGTGAAAAAGTTGTGTTGACTGTAAAATTTACACAAATAGCTTATTAGGCATAGCGATGTCCGGCTTCTGAGAAAGTTTATTGAATGATCGATAACGGCACTGAATACCGAGATAGAGGACGCAGAGCACAATCATCTCCAGAACGCACTCCATGGTGAAAAGGATCTGAAGATATTCAACATGATGTTGAGCCTTTGATTTATTCATTGATCCGTGTACTTCTCACATCTTAGTAAGAAAAAATGTTCTGAAATCAAGTTTAGTCATTATTTAAAATTGCTGCAGAATGTAGTAGTTGGACTGGGTACAAGAGAGACGTAAAAAAGCCATCTTTGTCGATATTTACAGGATTAAGAAAACTATTTTCATATTTCTTTCATGGATCATCGCTATTTCATGCTGTGACAGTGAGACTGTGATCTGTAGTAGTGGGTTCATCACTTCGATACTCTAGGCAATTTAACACTTCAATGGGGAAGCCGAGTAAAGAGCAAGCCTATGAGAAAAACTGCACTCGTATTGGAAAGATAACCTAAGCGCTAGGCAGCAAATTTCCTTCGGTCCGCTAGGGCCGGGGACTGTCTATGGTGACAAACTGAAAACGATGACCTCGCACCGCACTTTCGAGACGCGAAAAGAATTCGTCCTCTATGGACACTCGATTTATCAGTGAACAAAGAAGAAAACAAATCCTCGACTACTACTGAAACGAACGTAGTGAGAAGGACTGGGACCTGCGCAACATATGAAAACGGCTCTTCTATGTTAGAAAATCAGTTTTCATTGCGCACTACTCTTCTTCCACGGACATTGGGCTTATTGGGTGGTGGATTCTGTTGGATAAGATAAAGTTAAATATGCCCAAAACACGATCGAGTACTTTATCTGAGATGCTAGTGAATTTAGAAGATGTACTCTAAGCGTCTGGTGCAACTGATTTACTTCCACCTACCATATAAACACAGGCAAATCATATTAATGCTTGTATATGTGCAGATCCTCCAGGTGTACCAAATCCTTCAGCCAGGCAAATAGGAAAAGTGGAACTTTCTTAAGGGTGGTCTAACTCTAGCGTATAGGTCACATTTTAGCACTACGAATAGCTTGTTAATAAATCCAACTCCCTAAAATACACTGAAACAGCGATGTTACAACCGATTCATCAAGTTGTGAAGTTCGAATGATTTCATTGTGCTCATGATCAAAAGTCGAAGCACAAGCTTTGAGTCCGAGAGCAGTAACTCACTCCATTACACTTTCATGTTCTAGCTTTTATAATTACAATATTATAACAGGCAGGCCATAGACATTTTTCTTAGCAGGTGTGGAATTTTTGTATTTCCTCAAATGTTTTATTTCTCATAACACCAAAGAAGAGCTTCTCATGGTCTTCAGGTTTCGATGCACATCAGAGTTTCACACCACGGAGAGGTTTCCCATGTTATGGTGGAACTAAATTTCGTTAGGAAATGGAAAGCCTAGTGCAGAGGTGGTTAGACAGTACTGCCCTAATTGATTGTCATTGTGCTTGTAGATTTTGTATATCAGGTGGTGAAAAGATTCCACCTACCTCGCAAGCACTACGACGAATTACGATAGAAAAGGTCTCAGTTAGGTTAGTACCTCGAGAATTCAGGAGCCAAAGAGCTGGACCCACAATGATATACTTTGTTCATACGATATGTAAAAATTTTTTTGCTAGGCAGGGCATTGTTAGGAAAGGGATCGAAAAATGGCTCGCTACTTCTAATGCTACTTTTTCATCAAACTTTACAAGACTGGTATAAAACCTTGATCCAAATACTGTGTTCTACATCTTTCTTTTTTGAAACATCATTTCAGTCCTTGTCAACAATCACTCAAACGATGCAATAAGAAAACGTACCGCCGATGCTCTGAGTCTGATGAAATACCAATATGACGCTTCCTGGAATTGTCTTGGTGTTGCTTTGAAAGCAAACTTTCCCACATCGTCTGATGCTTGCATTGCCAGAAATGTAGAGAAACCACACAGAATACACGACATGCTCAGGCAGACACCGTGCTGAACCACAACTCTATGGTAGTATTGAACGATCGGTTTTTGTATTAAAAATAACTATAACCACAACGTTGCTGAGATATTTGCAAAACTTTGGACCCCAGGTGTCTATGGTGGGGAACGAACGCGCTATTGTCCTTTCCGGGGAGTAACGCGTTCACCACCACACCATGCGGGTCCTTTGTTTTGCCTGTCTCTCAGGCTATTTCTATCGATCTTTGCCACAGCAATCACCCGTCAGCGGGATTGATCTGGGGCGCCAAAAAATAACTATGTTTGCTGGTCGGTTACGAAATTGGACGATTAGATTATAATACCACTGACTACTTAGTGAAAAAACAAAGCACGAGAAGATGTGGAATTATCAACTTGTGGTGTCATACAGCAGTTATTCAAAAACGAGCGCTTTCAGCAGCGGCTAGAGGCGTCCTAAAATGCACTAGTGGCGCTTAGTGTAACCCTCGCTTTGGGCTAACCAAGTCTTCCATGTCTTCAGGGTCGACGAATCGGTGCCAGTCTTGTGTGGGATAATAGCAGCATTAATAGCAACAATGTCCAAACACGACGGCAGGCCACCGCAAGTCATTTTATAGGCCAGGTATACATTTATTCACTTCAAACGATGCTTTCTAAAACTAAATCCGCAAGAAATTTACAAAAAGTTGATCGATATTGGATTGGAGAGGTCAAACACTTCGTTCTTTACTTTTATCTTTCGCAAAATCATCTACGAACTAATTTGTAAGCAGATTTCATGTATTATATAAGGAGAATGTTGCAAAATTAGAGCGAAAACGACGAAGATGTGAAGGCATGATGGATATAAAAGCTGAAGGATAAAGCTCTCAGAGTTGATCAATCCTTGAGCAATGCGCCATGCATTCGACTTCATTAGGTATCATTGGAGGTGATTGAATGCATATCTAGCCTTTACAACGACTTGCGGTAGCCTACCGATGTATCGAGCCAGTGCTGCTATCCTCCCATGCAAGTTCGGTACCAATTTGCCGACCTCGGAGAGATGGAAGGCTTAGTGGACCATGGGCGCTGGAATCGATTCCACGTGTGTGTCGCAGTGGCGCCTCCAACCACTCGCCACACGCACCCTTGATAATGGATATTAGGTTATATAAAACCACACCATGCTGCGTTTTAAAAAAGATACTCAATAGTGGTTAACGAACCAGAAGGCTGAGCAGTTGTGGATTGTTCTCGGCGAAAATTTGCAGAACTCTCGGTGCACTGCTGGCCAACAATGTCATCGACGTGAGCAGAAGGCAAAGAATCGACGTCACATAAAACCACGCCGACATCTCCGGACGAATTAGTAGTCTCTGTTTGAAATATATACAGAATTAAATAGCCGCAGCGTATAATATGTCAAGAGGCCAACCAATAAGCTTTAATTCTTTTCATTACGGTATGAATATTTTTCAAGTTGGTTAGATCGAATAATTTGATCTGATCCTTACGGGCCAATAAAGATGCTGGGATTGTCCTGTGTTCCCACGCTTCCGAGGCATTATTGCAGAGGCTGTCTTCAATAGCGACATGTCATTCATTCGTCCTAGCTGGCTACGAAACCATTCACTTTTTCATACCATCTTACTAATCCTAGCCTTGAATAGTATTTATGCATGGCAGCTGATGCTTCGTACAGTTTTGCATCGTAACCATGCTTTGATTGCATTGTTAGCATATATTTACGTTTGCCTTGGCAATTGTTATGGGTATGTCAATGTTGCTTAATAAAGATTTATATATAGTTAAACGATAAAAGGATAAAGCTTTCGGCGTTGATCAATCGCTGAGGAAGGCGCCAAGCATTCGACTTCATTAAGTATCGTTGGAGGTGATTGAATACATATCTCGCCTTTACAATAACTCACTGTGGCCTACTGAAGTGTCGAGCCAGTGTTGCTATCCTCCTAGACAAGTCTGGTACCAATTTGCCGACCCCGGAAAGATGGAAGGCTTGGCGTGCCAGGGTGCGGAGATCGATCCCACGTGTGTGTCGCAGTGGCGCCTCAAACCACTGCCCCACACGCGCCCATATATATTTGTATATACATATATATATATATATATTTGTATCTGTGCATTTATATCTATGTTACGTCTGGATAGCTATCTTTTTACAGAGATAGAAATAGTACATAAACAGTGCACTATGATATATTAACCACTGCAATATCTTCCATACTGTGAAGAACATTCTCTATCTATGCATACCATCCTGATGATGATAAACGAGTTTTCGCAACAAATCACTGGAAGACAATAGCAGAATGCGAGGTTCTCACCCAATCATCGTTGCGTACAGTTGTGGCTCATTAACAAGAATATTTTTCCTAGCATTTTTATGATTTTACCCTTCTGCTGTGCGTCGATCTAACCCTTCTTTTATTCCATTTGCTCCCTAGCATTCATCATCCACGGAGCTCTTCCAACCTTTCGCATATAGGTTCGGCTACTACTTGAAGATTTTCTTCTCGTCATGAATGTCACCAAATGCTGGTCGAATCGATTATCCTTGAAGTGTCAAGGTAACCATGGTAGAGCGTTTCCACATAGACAGCAGGAAACCGGCTGTTCATGGTTGCGTCTAGAATGAACTTCCTAAACCCGGATAGACAAGAAGTTTGACAAGCCCAAGATGGAGTTGTACCAGAACTGTACGCGTGATGATCCGCATCACTACCACTGTGCTATCCGTAGCATCCGAATGTTATCTGTCAAGTCTGTGACCAAGTCTCAGACCAAATCACCTGTGTGATTTTCCATGTCTCCATCTAATATCACAGTTAGGAGTAATCTGCTGTCTCCGAGCACCTTGGAAATAACCTAACGACAAGACTGGAAAATGGGACTTTAGTCTTACAATTATTAAAACAAATCAGCACCATCTCAATTTCTGCTTTCGATGTTTTAACACCACCAGAAGATTTCGTTGAAATTTTTTTTCTTGTTAGAGATTCTGAGCGTCAGGTTGAGCAGATTTAGTGACGCCTTAAATATGCACAAAGTCTGGGGTTTGACAAATCTTGACCGGGCCAGCCAAGTTCCTCTGTCTCTCAGGAGTCGAGGGATTTGCACTAGACTTGTCTGGAATCGAGTCGCTTCCTCTAATCCATATAGGCTTGTGATTGCTTGTAGTGAACACCTGGGAGCTTCTTAGCATGGGTGTCGAGATAATATTGAGAACATCTGCATGAGCAAGAGACATTCAGAAGACCGAAAATTTCAAGCAAAACCGACATGTATGATCTAAAGATATTCGCGGGTAATTTATGGAAGAAAACGAATCGGATGTAAGAATCGCTGTCACTCTCACTACTTTTGTTTGCGGGTCGTATAAAACAAAATTAATAAAAAGATAGAAAGATGTGCATTTAGATTTGTTTCAGATTTTGTTTTTCTCATGGTTTACCGCCTCAGCTTCACGTAGAGGGCTTCTTGGATGGTTGTCAAGTTTTGGTTTTGAGTTTTTTCTCTTTGGTTTTTACGAGTTTTGGAGCTTCGACGAAAGAACAGAGGTTTATCTTCTAGATATGACAAACCAAGTTGAAGAGTATGTGACTTTTGTTGAAAAAAGTCGTCCAGCTAAGAACAAACTTATGCCCATTTGGGAAACTTCCTTCTTACATAGCTCGGAGATTGCTATGGTGGCAACCTGAGAAGACCTGGAAGTGCTTACATAGCACTCCAGAGAACAAACGTTAGACAGAAATAGCTGAGAGGCAGGTGAAACGAAGGACTCGCATGGCTTGGTGGTGAACGGCTAGCCATTGGAATGGATAGTAGCGCGTTAGTTCCGCACTACATACACCTACAGTCCGGAGTTTTGCAAATACCTCAGCAACGTTGTGGTTAAAAACCTAGCTTAAATAAGAAATTGCCACCATTGAAAGAAAAACTATAGAGCAGGCGCCACTGAGGTACACATTAATGCTTTAGTCAATTAATACTTTATTAGGATTTAGCACAAGGCAAACAACAGTTGTATTCAGAATAGACCAACAGGCTGCCAATGAAGGCTTATTGATATTAAGCTGGCTGTCTTACCCAATGCATATAATTGGCCCTTTTAATAGTGTGTACTTTTATTTATAACAACGGTGAGAATTCTTAATCTTTATGTGGAAAGATAGAATTCAAACGCTAACGCGTTAAAATTTTAAATTCCCGAGTTCCGGGAAAATTTGTTGGAATAACATGTAGTCAAAGGTATAAATATGTAATAAATATAGACATCTTATGTATACATTAATAAATGGATAAAAAACTACCAGGTCACACAAAAAAGAAAAGGGTAGAAGCTCTTGGCGTTGATCAAACCCTTAGGGATGCGCCGTGCATTCGACTTCATTAATCATCGTTTAGAGGTGATTGAGTGCAAAATTGGCCTTAACACTGAATCGAAGTGGCCTACTTATGTATCGAGACAGTGCTGCTATACTCCTAGACAAGTATGGTACCAATTTGACGATCCTGGAGGGACGAAAGGCTTGGTGTGCCATGGGCACGGGGGTCGATCCCACGTGTGTGTCGCAGTGGCGCCTCCAACCACTGCGCCATACGCACCCGTGATCAAATCACATGAATAAATTAAATAATTACTAGTGTAAAGTAGATTGTTATACATTCTTGTGTGGGTTTTCGTTATCGAAGATAAAATGCAGTCGTAACCAAGCTATATTAAATGGAACCTGGAACTAAGAAGTAAACACTACATAAGTAATCACTAGAAAGAATAGGTAGATCAAAAAGAAGGAAAATAAATGTAAAGGCTACCATATCTGGTACTGTATAGTACATCTCTTTCATCACAATAAAATCGAAGATGGAACACGTCAAACACAGCGAGGCGATAGCACACACCTTAAATTCGAGAGACTTTAACGACAAAATTTTACCTAGTAGCTAAGAGTTTCGATAGATTCGTG